CCCCCTCTCCCCCCCCCCCCCCCCCGGTATTGATCCCCTTTGAGCTACTCAGAGCTTGCACGCCAAGTTGGCTTCGGCCAGGATGTTGTTGTCACTCGGTTCAGAGTGCATCTAACATGCCATGCGTCACATCCAACCAATTCTCTGCGCCAATGCCGTCTTCCTCCGCATCTGCCACGACCCCGCCCCCGTCACGCATTCCTGGCAACCTTGACAACCTCTCGGGAGCGATGTCCACGCTGTCAAACTTTCTTTCAACGTGGTCGCAGTGAAGGTCCGTCTTCAAACCGCACCGCGGTTAGGCTGAGGATACTGGAGAAGGAATCGGTGATGCGGACGCCTGAGTGGAGCCGACACAACATTCACTCTCGCCCTCAGTCGGCCAATCAGGAACTGTGTTGATAACCTTCTCGGGAATGTTGGATGCTGGCAGCGTGGCGCTCTGGGTTTGCCAGCCTTCTTGGAAAATGGTCTCGCCCTTGTCACTGTCCGTGCCCTTCCCTTCCACGCAGGTGTCAATGCTATCCACGGGTGGTGCCGAGAGAGCCTTCAGTTTGCCTGAAGCGAGGTCCATCGCCCTATCAGTGAGTGGCACGGTTGATCGTTGTTTTGGTGTCGACAGGAAGGAGGGGCCGTCAGGGTTCATCGCGTGTGCGTCCAAGCCCACGTTAAGAATATCGCCTTCGAACTATCGCCCAACGCACGCTATCGTCCTCACCATATTGCGGTTAGGCACCATTGTGTAAGTCCCGTTGTCCGGCATCCATGTGCCCAAGTTTCTGTATCGCATGCTCGGCAAGGGTCTCATACTTTCAAACATGCATACCTGCAAAAGGAATCGTCGCAGAAGGCATCCACTCGGTCCCACTCCTCCAAAGGGGGTACGGGCCGCGAGCCAGCAGGGCGACACGAGTTGTAGGACCCCCGCAGCCTGTCATACATCGTTTGAGCTCTGGACCCACCAACCGCTGCGAGAGATACCAGCGCTATGTGGGCCAGGTGGCATCTTTCATGGACCATGGGTAGCACGGGGCAGAGGAACACATACGGGGTTCGACAACGACGATTTGTAGCATATACTTGTCGATACACCACGAGATACAGTCCCCCTCTTCTCTACTAGGCGAAGGGATACAAATCCTCGCCGCCACACACTAGCCCCATACACGAGGAAAAGAAAAACGGCCGAGAAGCAGGCCAAGCGGAAGCCTACCATTTGTGACGCAAAGAAATTTCCAAGAAATGCTCGGCCAGAACGATTATTCGAAGGGTGGAGAAAGGAAAAGTACAAGAATGGAGTGAGCCGATTCGTTAGCAAAGTCCCGCACGAAACAAAACCACAGACGTGGCACCCTGCCAGTGTAGAAGGCCGCAACACGCCAACTTCGCATGTCAGAGAAATGGCGGGTGTTGCGTTTTGGCCGAACCCTACTTGGTGCCCTGGGGGTAGAATTAGGACTTGACCCATCCAATACACTCAATCAACCGGAGACGACACCACACACTTATCGAAGAGGAGTACGCTCTGTCATAGACAATTACATGGTATTTTCACGCCCCCTACTGCAGGGGAGCTCTCCGTCAGGTTGATCACCTACTGTAGGCAAAAATGTCCAAACAGATATCAGGAGGCGCAGGATATCACGCAACACGGCGGGTCCTGGTGATGCTGCTGCTGTAGCAGACGAGCATGGGACACAAACAAAAAAGAGTGGCATTATACGTCGTGACCAGACATCGCTAACGGCTTCTGATATTCCAAAACTCACAAGACGCAATTGGACACAAAAATCGAAAGAGAACAAACATGGTGCGTTGATCATTGGCAGAACAGAACATGCATCGACCACAACACTCTTCTTATCCATACGCACATCAACCTTTGCAAACGTTGTAGATTCAAGCGGAACAGCCGAGCAGTAGCATCAATGAGGCTCAGTTGACAACCTCCTGATCATAACCGCAAACATGCAGAAAACAAGCACGACAAAATAAAAGTGTTTGCGGAGATTAACACTCCAACGTTTTCATTACCTTAGAACAATTGTTTGTGAATATGTCATGCTGTGGAGTACCGCGCCATCGCCACACTTGATTATGCCTGAACATCTTTACCCACTTTAGCTGCATATTTGAAGCGTCTTGCAACACCCATCCCAACGGGGTACGGAAGTCGCTCACGCCATCTGTGAAACAGATCGGGGGAAATATAATCAACATATCACCTCCCTCTGCATCGCAACAACTCCACTCACCCCACCGTGCTGCGACACAAGCCAGGATATCGCTCGCAAACCTCAACGCAGCGGCCTATTCTTTCCAGGGCGGCATGCAGATCGCCCTGTGCTGCCTTCGTGAAGATAAGGCCTCTGGAGGGTCCAGAAATCCAGAAAAGGGGTCGAGGGCAAAACGTACTGTCAAAAGATGAAGTCTCGTTCGATACTCCATTCTGATCAACAGAAACAAAATTCATCACTGGTCACAGTTGTTATAGCCAGTGCCAAAGTACCGAAACACTGTGGCACAGAACAGTAAGAAAAACTTGTAAGACCGTGTGTCGCCTCAGGCTTGCTCTGATCACCTCATGGCCCGACAATATTAAACACAGAAGCCTTTAACAAATGCAGCACATCGGAACAGTAGATCCAGCCAAACACAATATCTGCACGTAAAACATATATCCCATCTCACAGGTTGATGAGCAGGCCGCCGAAACCTCCACGAACGCTTGGTCTGCACATTAGTCCCATCATCCGATTTAGGCATACAGGTCGATTACGAGTGCGAAGTTCATCAACGGGTGTAGTGAAGGTGTTACCTAGTAGAAGGAGGACAGACAGCCCGTCGGGGCATGGGTCCCCCCTGATATCCATCTCAGTGACACCCTCATATCGGTTGACTAGGGTATGGCTGCCTCCCGCCCCTGGGGCAGGACGGACACCGGGATCACACTACCGTGTTGGCGAAAACGTAGATCTGTTTGTGTTTGAAAGGAAGCTTGCGGGCGGTTTCATCGTATAAGCGTAGGGAGCGGTCGCGTTTCGCCGAGTGGTCTTCCTGGCCTTCCGCGCGCGCGTCTTCTACGCTGTAGTTCATTGATTCCATCGGTCGGTTTTGATTCTCGGAAAATCGTCTTGGTGAGGAAAGCACGCCGAAAGGTACACCGTACAATATGAAACGTCAATCACGGGAGGAAAGGCGACAGCAGTTGAGTCGTGTGACACGGTGCAATGTTATCGTTTCACGATACATGACTAGCGGGCGCGGTGGAACTACGATCGTTTCGCGAGAACCAATGTGCGGCGAATAGTGATATTTTTTCCCCCTAACATGACACGACAAATAAACCCTGTCGATGTGCAATTGGCACTAGGTGATCATCCAGCCCGCAAGACGAGGTGGCATCCCATCCCACATCCAACTTGTGGCGACGTTTGCTGGTGGTTGGCGGATCTTGTGTGAAATCGTCCCTCTGCAGTATGAGGTCAAACAGGGATGGTAGTCTACGGAAGAAGGTTGGACTTGTCAAGCTTTTGGCGTCTTTACGGATGTGCCCCAACATCTTCTCGCCAATGAGCGCGACCGAAGCATGCGCTTGATGCTGCACGGGCAATGGTCTCAGCATGTGTGTGTATCCATCCGCAAAAAGCCGTATTGCATCATTTAGGTCGAAAAGGCGCGAACAAAAAGTCGAATTAGGGCCAAGAAAATGCCACAACCAAAACGAAATCAAGATGTACGCGTCGCAAGGGCTTCTGCTGCCATATATGAATTGTAAAATGCGCATCTTCTCACCCGTATGTCATAAGACTGCCGACATGCCCGAACACGTTTTTACCACGTGTTTCGACTCACCGATCTACCGCCTCTTCAAGTGGCTCAAAGCTGAGGCAACGCACGCTCTCCAAATACGTTCCAATGGCGTCCGATACCTCTCGAGGCAGAAAAACGTGGTCGGACCGGCGGCCACTGTCTGATCCGCGATCAGACTCGGCGTCGCATGGGTTTTCGCACGTCGTCGCGATTTGCTTGCTCGGTAATTGGTGGAGAATTTGCTCATACGCTCTGTACGACTGAGCGACGTATTGATATAGGTCGACCTCCGTGGCAGCTTCCTTCAACTGGGATTGAAGGGTCAGCAAGGAGGGCGGGCGGGCACGACTGAGAAAGCAGCGGGAAGTTGTGGTGTCGGCAAGGAGATTGGTGTAAATGCCACTTGTCGTGCCAAACACCCATTTCCGTGCAGCCCAAAGATGCAGCCTGCCGGGTGGACTGCCTTGTCCTATGGTAGCTCAGTGAAGCACGTAAGCAACACTGTATCGGCACACTTTCGTTCCGGTCGGCAATGCTCTGTCTCGACGACGACCTCCAAGACGAATCTTCGATAAAACCGACCACACACCTGCGGCGGAGTAGCTTCCCCTTTGGACCTATACGACTTCATCTGCCACTGCTGTCCGCAGGAAGACAAGGTAGCATATTTGTGCTTGACAATCTCGGTGAAGCCCTGGCCAACGACTCGACACACAGGTAGGATGCATATCGGTTGCAGCCATAACATGATAATGAATTCTTCAAATGCTAGCATTAGGCGTACGGAGAGGAAATTGTGCTTGGCTACAAGCTGTTTCGTGTAAGCAGTCTCTGAGGAATTGGGTTCGCGTCATGGCTTAGGACCGCACAACGAGACTGCCGCCATCACCATGAGTCCACCGCACGCGAAGCAACACAGGAGTACATAGAGGAGGCTGCTTCTTGTGTCCCCGGTCACCATGGAAACCCTAGGCGGGTGTTGTATATGAACTCACCGCTGGAAGCACATCGGCGGACCCTTGCTCAATACAACTCGTCAAAAACGAGTCCGAGAGAGCCAGAAACTTCTGGAACCCCGCCTAAGGACAAACGTACCAGTCGGACGGAAGCACGTCAGAAAGCAAAATATGGAAGATGTCAGCGGGAGCAGACCATTTCCAACGTGGTCCAGGAACATCGCGGATAAGAACCAGTTGCAAATTCCCATGCGCGCGGCTTCCCCGATACAGGTAATCGGGATCGGATTTTCATTTGTCAGCGGCGATGCGCAACCACATGAACGGCAGGGGCTGGGGCGATGGCTCACCATGTCTCCCATGAAGCAACACAGGTAAGCCAGAATTACCCATGCCCTGGACACGAACAAACAAGCAATCAGCATGGATGATTGGCGTGATTTTCCATTAGCACGACTCTCTAGTCATGAGGTAAGCTTCGCAACCCTGCCCAGGACGAAAGCGTCAGATGAAGGGCCCTAGAATATAGTGGACCTCGCACAGCTCAACCAAAACGCTCGGTGAGGGCAGTGATCTTGTTTCCTATTGGTTTTCGAGTGTGACTCACTTCGCGACCTCCACGTCTGCGGGACCGGAGCCGCTCGTAGCCAAAGCTTCCTGTGCCAGTTCAGAGTACTGCAACACCTAAAAAAAGTATCGGCGAGGCAGGGAGGTGTGTAGGATGAGCATACCGTGATGGCAGCCCAGGGAAACGCCGCCCACCAATGACATTTCAATGCCACACAGAAAAATGACAACTGACTACGTCCTTTGGCAAACAATAGGCATTTACATCCAGATAGAGAGAAACAACGCCACCATCTTACCGACTCGATAGGACTGCCCTTCGCGAGCGCCCCCAGAGCAATTGCACACCAGAACGTACATGTCGACGGGTCCCTAGGAAGCTTATTGCGTTCCGAGCCCGTTATCCAACTCGCCCCTGGTGCGATTGGATCAACATCTTTCGTCGTCACAATCGGCCCCAGCGGCTGACTGCTGTAAAGAAGAGAGCGGTGTCATGATCTTCACCATCGTCTCGCGAATATGACTGCCAGAACAGCAAAGCATCGCACAGATCCCACGTGTCGGATGCTCGTGTGAGAAAGGCAAGACAAACTACTGAACCAGCACCACTCGAGCGACAACGCTGTGCTGTTTGCATGCAAGTTTAACGACACAAACCACTTCACACACGAGTAGCAGCACGTAGCAAAGCGGCGATCCCGCCTATTTATGTGTACAAATACCCATACCTATTGGTGGTTAGCGGAAGAAAACCAACGCAGCCGAAGAAGTCGCTCAGGAAGGCGTTTTCCTGCATGCCCACAAGACCAGTCGCCGGAGATGCACTCAACCTGAACCTGCATGTAGCACCACGACATGGAACAGAGGCTGAACGAAGAAGCATCCCATTGTATACTGCACCATGCAAGACGCCGCGGGCACTCTCCGTGAACGCTGGCGGCATGACTTGTCCGCTATTCTACCCAACAGGCCGGTGTTTTCGTGTCCTGCTGATGTCGTCAGTCGCGCATCAGTGCATGGCCGTGTGTTTGATGGGTCTGCAAGCATCAACGTGGTGGGTTGTACCAATTCACCGTTTGAACCCAGTTAAAAGTACCTCTTCATAGGCAATATTCCAGATGTTCCGAGGACGCCGGGTGGTGTGGATTCCAGCAGGGCCTCTCTACCGTGCGTGCCATCGTGATCAGGTCGGTGATGCTGTCGTTCCTCCTGGTGTGGTTGAAGATGCCACCGCCGCCTGTTGTAGGTGCACTGGCTGCCTGACTTCACACAGCGCCTGCAGTCGTACACACGTATTTTGCGAGGGCAAAGAGCAGGAAAGGGGTAGCTGAGGCGTAACTCTGAACGACGAATACCGGTAAAATATTGCAAGACGCTGTAGAAAAGGCAAGAGAGTCGCTGGCGCTTGGCAGGTGTACAAGATATCATCATATCATGGCTTGCTACCCCTTTGATCTACCGCTTGAAAGCCGATACCATGCACGCCCTTGACGCGATGCGTCTTCTTCAGCACGCAGTAACGTTCCGTGATCTTATCCCTTCCGCGCAAGTGTCCTGTGTGTATGTGGCTGCTGCTGCTATTCGAAGCGGCTCCATGATGAATATCGCAGAGGATATACCTCACAACGGTGGCACTGGCCTTACATGGATCGAACCATCCTGGACAAGCTCAATAGCAATTTACTCGACAGTCTTCCTCATTCAGGCACCCGATGCATCTTTGGCGGTGATGATGTTTGTGAAGCTCCTACATATGCGTACTCCAAAAAAAATGGGAAGAAATATCTCACTTCTCCTTGTACTCCTTCGATGCAGCGAGAGCAGGAAAATGTGTGATTCTAAATGTTTTGCATCGACCACGCTAACCGGCTGACCAATGAGAAGGCGTCTGTCTCCGTGTGTGCGCGTGTGATTATTACGTGTAGCGATCGCGCCAACGGGCTGACCGATAAAAAGACGCCTTCAGTCTCAGTGTCGAAACAGGAAATTAATGCTACCACAGCCAATGATCTACTGCTGTAGGACCCCGTGTCGTGCGTCTTTTAAATTGCGACGACCCCGTGTGTGGGCGTTTGTTGTAGTGTGCATTTTCTGGGTTGGTATTGACCGCGCCATCCGGCTGACCAATCTAATGACGTCAGTCTCAGTGCGGGTGAAAAACAAGTAACACCTCTAAATGTCATTAACTGGGAGGGCGGCATGGGGGAGGCTAAGCTATCCTCCGGATCAAAGACAGAAACGGTACAAGTAGCAACAGAAGAAAACTGCACGTACGTGTCGATGAAGGCTGCTACCTTGCACTCTATTTCCTCTTGGAGTGTTTTCACCGCCATCCTCCTTCCTTCCAACTCCATCGTTCTCACCATCGTTTTTACAGCGACTTTTCGTCATTTCTTCTCTGGCCCTACGCCGTTATGGTGGGGAGGGTCATCTGCCTCGAAAGTGTTGCTCTCTTCCACGCCAATATTTTGTTTTGGCATTGATTGCTGCGCTGACCGGCTGAACAATGAAAATACACGTCAGTCTCAGTTGGCTGAAAACAGAAAATGTTCTCAAGGCCACATGTTTGGGACCCCGTGAGGTGCGTAGGTCCGTGAACCCGCACTCTCGTGGGGTACAGAAGTGCCCGAACTGGCACTATTGTTGGGCATCCCCAATAGTGCCGGTCTCGCACAAGTGAGGGCTCGGGCTGTGCGCAGAGATGTAACCGGTAGAGATGGGCACCGGACATGAAAAAGCAATATCCGATACCCGGCTAGGAGGCGTTATTCTCAAAATCCAATAACCGGTATAACCGTTTTTTTTCAGCACCGGTTAATTAACCGATTTAACCGGATCTTATGAGGAAACACCTCCTCCGCAACCTCTCAAACTCGGGTCTGTTTTGTGGCTTTATGGCATACACACCAATCTATCTTTCAGTCGCGCAGTCGGTGTCTGCCGGTGTATTTCGCGCACACGATCTATTTTCGTGGTGTCAAAGAAGAGATGGGCGCCAGAAGGGAACAACCAATGAGCAATAACCGGCTAGGAGGAGCTATTCTTGAATAAATAACCGCCGCATAACCAGGTATTTTAGCAAGGGGCTCTCCATGTGGAAACCGTGGAACATCCCCCCCCCCCCCGGGCCAAGATTGACACGCAATATAGGGGGTTAAGGCGGCACGCTTGCAGCAGTCTATTGTAAAGGATTTAGTGTGTCCATAGTAAAACCGATATTATACTCTTCATTGAATAGACCTTCATGTCGCACCCTAAAACCCGTAAAATTCTCTTCAGTTGTTGACTTCGTGTCCTCATACTATCTCCTACACCATACACTAGACCTTGCGACCAAGATTGACGCGTATTCTTGGGGTGTTTCCATGATTTCCACTAGCTCTGTGTGGGATCCCGCGCGCGCGCTGAAAGAAGCGCTCGAAGATGTCGAAACCCCGGGGATTTAGCCAAAATGTCCCCGCATAAAAGGCCCACCCACCCGCCCCCCGGGACGAAGATTGACACGGCGCCCAGGGGTGTTTCGACGTTTCCAGATGGAGGGCCCCTTGATTTTAGCGACGGTTAACCGGTTACGGATAACCGGGTAAACCGGCTGCAAAACGCCTCCTTTGTATGATAACCGTCACTCATAACCGCCTGCTGGGGTTCCAAATAACCGAGTATTACCGGTTATTTTTCAAACGGTGCCCATCTCTATCTACTAACCGGCACTACACGGGCCACCGGCCCTAAACAGGGACCTATTCCACTTCTGGATACTTGACACATTGCAAACTCGAGCTTCCTGGTGTTTGGGGTCCAAAGCACCAGGAATTCTTAAGATCGAGTTTGCAATGTCACACGGTCTACTCGCAACATCATCAGGCCGATCTTCCATCCCGATTAAATCATGGGAAGGCACTTTTGGCCCGATGGAAATTTCGTAATTTCTTCAGGAAGCAATTATTATCATGACATCGTCGCAGGTCTCGTATGTTCCGCTTACTCCCTTCGTCCACCGCCCTATCTATTCTGGTCCTGCGAAGACACCATGCATATCATTAGGAACCTGCGAAGGCTATGTTGGGGAATGCTCTGCTCTGTCTTGATGGTTGGTACTGCGCTGCTTCTGCTGTGAAGCAAGCTTCGTCTCTTCATCTCACCAGTGTATCTTCTTTCTATTTGTTCTCATTTTTCTTTCGTTTTATGAATAATTTTCGATAAGTTGAAACATCATCATCATCGTGTGAGAGCGCGCAGCCAGGTCTGTTGCTACACTGACTGCTGTTGTTGTGCTTTCGGGTTCGGGGGGGAGTGTGCCATGACGGGTGTGTTTCTACAGTACACGTTCCTCCAGCTGCGCGAGACTATGCTGCGTTTCCAACAGCAAGACGCCCATCTGCCATCACACACACAACTTACACACAACTTACATTTGTGAATGTGCGAGAGATTTTCCAACCGCGAGAAGAGCACATTTGACGACGACTCTCAGGCATTGCTGTTGTGTATGTGGCCAGAGATGGCTGGTACTACTGGTTGGTGTGCTTTCACATACAGGGGGGATTGGACCATGGCGGGTGAGTTTCTACGGTTGTGCGAGACGTTGCTGTTGTTGTGTTCCAGCAGCTGGGTGTGCCTCGTGTGCGTTGTATCAGCAGTGCGCAGCTTGTTTATTAGCTTCTGAAATTCCGAGGCGAGCGGCAGGACACGTCATCTTTTCTGGTGCGACGCACAAACACGAGGATCGGCGTTTGCATTCCGTTCGGAAATTTGCCTCCATCCCGATGAAATCATGAGGACACCTCTCAACAGCAGTCAAATATCACCAGGAAACCAGGAAGCTCGAGTTTGCAATGTAACTGCTGCTGTGCCTATCTAGTTTTTTGGCTTGTTGTTGCTGATTTTTGTTTAGTCTATGTATGCGACCGTTGAATTCTCCGCGTGTGTGTGTCGATGCCTGGAAGCAGCGTGCCTCGCACAGCTTCGCAGATAGGAGACTACTGGGAGGTAATGAGTCGCATTCTTCGCGGCTCGTTTCCCTGCCCTATGTTTGCACTGCTGTAGTACATGTTCTGCCTCCACCACATACCGTGAAAGTTGAGCCGCGAACTCGTCTCATCAGACTCGGCTGATTCGTTTTGTTCGGTGTCGTTTCAACGTGTAAACAGCAAATAAATGGCTTGACATGACTCAGCTGGGCGTGGGGAACATAATATATTGTAGCTTGGAAAATCATCAAAGGTAGGTAGGCTTTTCGTGTTGGTTCGGTGCGACGTCCTCTGTAAGTCCTGCAGCGTTCGTTGCAGCTGGGCACAGCTGCACTGAAACTGCACGTCACAATAGGAATTTACACCGTCTGACGTCAGTAGGTGGTGGTCACAGCACAGCAGGTCATTGCTGTGTAGCAGCTTGCACCTCATGTTCAACTCATTTTCGCGCGAAGCGTGTGAATTCCCACGTTCTTCTTGATCGCGCCGGTCTTACCCGCAAGGCTGTAGACCATCACAACGCTTCTTTGTACGTCCACATTCTGAGCAGCTCCGCCGCATTCCAAACAGGGTTGGCCGCGGGCGAGGTCCTTGCCGACCACCGCCGTTGTTCCTGCCGGAGTACACTGGCCTCGTATCCATGGATGGTTGCGTTGTTGCTCTCGAACGACGAGTCACTGACTCAGTGTTCGTGCAGTGTGGGACGTCAATGTTCCTTTCGTGTTTCTGGTCACGCACAGAGCGCGTCCCGTCTACGCTTGCAAGGGGGCAGGCACAGGAAGAAGAGAGCAAAAGAGGGGGAGACACCCGATGAGCACCTAGCGTAGCATGTGCGTGGAGAGGTTGAATTTGCGGAGCTTTTTTGGGGGGGGTTGTGTGAGGGTGGCCCTGGTCAGACCACTTTTCCGTCCAAAATAAAAAATAAAAAATAGAAAATGTCAGTGATTGGACAGCGCGCCGGTTGTTCCGCCGCCGGATTTTAGACGAGAGGGTCCGATAATTTATCGGTATGGTAAAACGAGCTCGAACAGCCGTTCGACTGTGGGTATATCTCGAATAGGTACAAGTAATATTTCTGTGTGTGTGTTTATTATTCCTTAATTAACCCCTTTGGGTCTAGGCTGGACTGTCAGATTTTTTTGTTTGCGCCAAAAAAAAAAAAATGAGAGCGAGAGCGAGCGGGAGAGAGAGAAGTGCAGAGAAATACACCAGTGTACTTCTGCACACGCAACAGCTATCTCCACCTGTAGGCCATGAGAGAAGCCGGCGACAGGGTGGTGGCCACAGACAGGGTCGTAGAAGGGTTGATAGGTGGTCGCGCTGCGGTCAGTAGGGCAGGTTAGCTGTGTAGACTTCGAAATGATCAGTCGTCTAGCTGCCTCAACTAGTCTATTTTCGGTATATTGTAATGATCAGTCCAGAGAGGGCAAAATGATCAGTGAAGACCCATAGCTCGTATTTAAATCATCAGTGTATAGACTTAAAAAGACTCGAAATAAGTCCAGTACCCAGCCGGTTTCCCTCCACTCACTGAAAAGACTCCACCACATCCCGTTCGACTGTGGGTATATCTCGAATGGGTAGTCTTTCTGTGTGTGTTTATATTATTCCTTAAGCCTCCACAATCAAAATTAAGAGTGAGTGCGAAGAGGAACATCAAGCTGTTTGTTATGCTCATGAATCTACTCTATTTCGAGTCGTGGACCGGGATTTCCGCTCAATCACCTAACCGGAGCTCACCCCTTTTCCTAACACACACGCGGTAACCTCTACGACAGATCGCCCCTTCGTCTCACAGGAGCAGCTGCATTGCCGTCCCCATCATCTTGCTCACAGCAAAAACCGCACAAACATGCAATGAGCGTCATGATCGCCGGCGCGTTTCCCTCTGATGGCGTGTGCACTCTTCGTACTGCTTCTTGCTGCTGCTGTTGAAGTTGTACTCCAATACGTCATCACCGCCGTGCTTATCCAATCCCCCGATGAAACTTCCCCGCAATTTGTTGCCTACGTTGCCACTGTACGATTCAGTCCCGCGCCACAAACCCCAGATTTCCTTCATCCAATCTTACACGCTTGCCACCTGCCACACCCTCAAAGAATCATACACGCCTTCATTTCGGTACTCGTCTAGCCACCTACAGACTGTTAGGCGATGCAAGCAATAGCTTGGTAAAAAGCTGACATCCAGCAGAGCAAGGTATGCTTTGTTTGAGTGAGATCTGCTCTAGGTTGAGAGAGAGAGAGAATAATCTCCGTGAAATTCTTTCTATGTCAACGCAGGCCAACGGCAGCTGTTTAGGCTTTCCTACATCAGCATGCAGCCATTCAATCACGCATTTCTCGCTGAGTTCGCAGCGTATCGATGCGAGACCAAGACCCCCCAACCCGCCTGATCATGGTTGTTCGGAGCTATCGTTGGCCGTCTGGGGTCCCGTAATATGGCCCTCATGGTCATGGTTTTCGTGTTATCGCAACTGGCATATACTGGCATATGCTCTAGACGACAGGCCTTGTTCGCCTCTTCCCGGCGCATGTATTTTTGATTTCGAGTCCCCGCTTGCACTGCTGTGTTGTAGAGTCAACCCGAAATCGAAAATCACGATCCAATTTGTTTGGATTTTTTATTATGGGCGCAACGTTTTTTTACAAGGGCCACACCCTGATACTGGTGATTTCGTGAACGAATGCCCTCCTATTGGTTGAAGCCCAACGGCACGTTCCCAGTTGCACTTTCCCCGGACGTGATCAGGAAGATGATCTATGATATGTTACGGTGAAGGAAGCAAGCATGCGACACCTAAGATTTCTCCCCGAAGTTTGGTCATCGACCGTCTAGTTTATGAGGTGTGTTCCTCCCGCCGCCCTGGACCTCACATGCAGACTCCAACACATCCCCGCGTGTTTTATGTACACCTTTTCTGTTGGCGTCGCTGAGCGTTTGTCTGTCGTAGACCCCCTGTAGACTACACCTTCTTGCAGAAATAAAATCAGCGAAAAATGAGCGGTTCTGTACAACCCTCGTCATCATCAGTATTTACAGCGAGCGGCGAGTCTAAAGACCATTCTGGGTTCGCCTCTCTTTCGATAACTCTTGCCTCCCCCTTACGTGCCAATGGCGTCGTCTTCGTGGGTACCTTCCCACCAAAGGTCTTTTCCGGTACGGACGCATATGTGTCTCCTTAGATCTACGCGATCAAAATTCTCGCGAAGCCGCCATATCAGGGGCCCACACGACGCGTTGTTTCCTCCCGTGAGCAACCAAACATGAAACACAACACCATTGTTTCCGGCTTTCAACGATTACATCTACTCGCCAAGCTCCGCAGTCCTACCACGCATGGTGGCCGCCCGCCCTATTCGGGGGCGGGGGGCCAATCGTTCCCCCTGGTACCTCCTACTCCAAAGTCGAGATGGATCCACGTCGAGACATCCTACTGCAATGCACACACGTTCAAGAAACAGCCGAGAATCCCTCTCTGGTTTTGATTCCCTTTGCGCTACCCAGAGCTTGCAAGCCAGTTGGCTTCCGCGAGGATGCTAGTGTCACTTGGTTCAGAGTTCATCTAACATGCCATGCGTCACATCCAACCAATTCTCTGCGCCAATGTTGTCTTCCTCCACATCCTCCACCACCCCGCCCCCGTCACATATTTCTGGCAACTTTGACAACCTCTCGGGAGCGATGCCCACGCTGTCAACCTTACTTTCAACGCGGTCGGAGTGAAGAACCGTCTTCAAACCGCACCGCGTGTAGGCTGAGGATACTGGAGAACCAATCGGTGCTGCGGACGCCTGAGTGGAGCCGATACAGCATTCACTCTCGCTCTCAGTCGGCCAATCAGGTGTTGTGTAAATAATCTTGTCGGGAACGTTGCATTCTGACAACATGGTGCTCTGGGTCTGCCAGCCTCCTTGGACAACGGTCTCGCCCTTGTCATTGTCCGTGCCCTTGGTTTCCACGCAGGTGTCGATGCTATGAACGGGTGGTGCCGAGAAAGCCTCCAGTTTGCTTGCAACGAGGTCCATCGCCCTACCAGTGAGTGGCACGGTCAAGCGTTGTGTTCGTGTCGACGGGGAGGAGGGCCCGTCAGCGTTGGCCGCGTGTGAGTCCAGGCCCACGTTAAGAGTATCGTCTTCAAAGTATTTTCCAGTGAAATTGAGGTTTTCCGGCAATCCCAAGTGCCCAAGTTTCTGTGCCGCATTCTCGGCAAGGGTCTCATACTTTCGAACATGCATACCTGCAGTAGGAGTCGTCACAGAACGCACCCACTCCGTTCCACTCCTCCAAAGGGGGTACGGGCCGCCAGCCAGAAGGGCGAAGCGCATTGTAGGACCCCCGCAACCTGTCATACATCGCTTGAGCTCTCGAGCCACCAATCGCGGCGAGAGATACCAGCACCATGTGGGCCAGGTGGCATCTGCCATGGATCGTGGGTCGAACGGTGAAGAGGAAAACACAGGGCATTCGACAACGACGATTTGTGGTATATGCCTGTCGATACACCATGACATTCAGTGCCTCCTCTTCTCTACACGTCGAAGGCAAACAAATCTTCGCCGCCACACACCAGCCCGTTACATCGGAAAATAAAACGACCCAGAACCAGACCAAGCGGAACCCTTCCACTCGTGAAACAATGACGTTTCCAAGAAATACTTGATCAGAATGATCATAGGCAGGGTGGGGAATGGAAGAGTAAAGGAACGGCGTACAGCCGATCCGTTGGCAAAGTCACACACAAACACAGAACCCATAGGCGTGGTACCGTGCTAGTGTAGATCGCCGCGACACTCCAGCCTCGCATCTCAGAGAAACGGCGGTGTTGTGTTTTGGCTGAACCCGACATGGTAACTGGAGGTAGGATTAGGACTTCACCCATCCAATCCAATCAATCAAATGGAGACGAAACCACACACTATTCGACGAGTAGTATGCTCTCTCATAGACAACTGCATGATGTTCTCATGCCCCCAACTGCAGCGGAGCTCTCCGTCAGGTTGATCACCTACAAACCTCTCTGGTTTAAGCAGATGACAGGAGGCGCAGGACATCACGCAACACGACGGGCACTATGTAGTGATTCTACTGCTGTAGCAGACGAGCATGGGACATAAACAAAAAGGAAGGTACTATACGCCGTGACCAGACATCGCTAACGGCTTGTGATACTCCAAAACTAACAAGACGGAGTTAGACACAAAAATCGAAAGAGAAGAAACATGACCGGGGGTAATCTCATCAACATATCACCTCCATCTGTATGGCTCGAACTCCACTCACCCCACCGTGCTACGACACAAGCCAGGATATCTCTCGCAAACCTCAACGCAGAGGCTTATTCTCTCCAAGGATGCATGCAGATCGCCCTCTGCTGCCTTTGAGAAGATAAGGCCTCTGTAGGGTTCAGAAATCCAGGAAAAGTGTCAAGGGCACAATGTGCTGTTGTATGATCAAGTCTCGTTGGATGCTTCATTCTGGACGACGGAAACAAAATTCATCGCTGGTCACAGTTTTCATCGGCAGTTCCAAAGTGCCGACATAATGTGGCACTGAATTAGAATCAATTGTTGTAAGACTGCGTGGCATCTCAGGTTTGCTCTGACTACTTCATGGCCCGACAATATACAACCCAATAGTCGCTAACAACACATGCAGCACATCGGAACAATACCGTCCGGAAAATACTACATACACCCGCACACGAATTATCACATCTTACAGGTTGATGAGCAGGCCGCCGAAACCTCCACGAACGCTTGGTCTGCACGTTAGTCACATCATCCGATGTTGACATGCAGGTCGATTGCGACATCGGGTGTAGTAAAGGTGTTAGCCAGTCCACCAGGATCACACTACCTTATTGGTGAAAAGGTCGATCGGTTTTGGGTTTGAATGGAAGCTTGTAGGCGGTTTCGTCGTATAAGCGTGGGAAGCCGTCGTAGTTCGCCGAGCGGTCTTACTAGCCTTCCTCCCGCGCGTCGTCTACGCTGTAATTCATTCATTACATCGGTCGATTTTGGTTCATTCCTGGAAAATCGCCTTGTGCGGGACGCACGCCGAAAGGAACACCATACAGCATGAAACTTTGATCGGAGGAGGAAAGACGAGAGCAGGCGTGTGACGCGGTGCAACTCTTTTCGTTTCACGATATATGAGTAGCGGGCGCGGTGGAACTACGATCGTTTCGCGGGGACCAGTGATGCGGCGCAATAGCGATTATATATATTTTTCTTAACATGACACAACAAATCCTGTTGATATTCAATTGGCACTAGGCGATGATATGCAACCCTATGCAACCCGCAACAGGAAATGGCAGCCCATCTCTAATCCAACTTGTAGCAACGTTTGCTGGTGGTTTGTAGATCGTGTGTGAGATCGTGCAATGAGGTGAAACAAGGATGATACACAAACAAGGAAATACGGAAGAAAGTTGAACTTGTCAGGTTTTCTGCATCTTCGGACGTGTCCCATCGTCATCTCGCCAAATGAGCGCGACGTAAAGTATGCGCCTTATGCTGTACGTGCAATGGTCTTAGGATGTGTGTATTTTCATCCGCCAAAAGCCGTCCTGGATATTTAGGGCGAAAAAGGCGCGAAAAAAAGTCAAACTTGGGGCAATGAATTCCACACTCATAACAAAATCAAGATGAACGCATCGTAAGGACTTCTGCTATCTAAGAACTTTAGAATGCGTATCTTCTCACACGTAGACTGTGTCATACGATTGCCGACATGCACGAATACGTTTTTTACCGCATGTTTCCACTCACCGATCTACTGCTTCTTCAAGTGGCTCAAAGCTGACACCACTCACTCTTTCCGAACACGTTTCAATAGCGTCCGAAACCTCCTGAGGCTGAAAAACGTAGTCGGACCGGAAGACTGTGTCTGATCCGCGATCAAACTCTTCGTCGCACACGTTTTTGCACGTCGTCACGATTCGGTTGCTCGCTATTTGGTAGAGAATTTGCTCATACGCTCTGCACGACTGAGCGACGTATTGATATAGCTCGACCTCCGTGGCAGCTTCCTTCAACTGATTGCAGGGTCAGCAAGAATGGCGGGCGGGCACGACTGAGAAGGCAACGGGGCGTGTGGGTAAGACAGGAACAAAATTCAGATTGGCGTACATGCCGCTTGTCGTGCCAAAGGCCTTTTTCCCTGCAACCCAAAGACGCAGCGTGCCAGGTGCACGGCCTTGTCCTAGATAGCTCAGTGAAGCACGTAAGCAACTGTTGCTTACGTGTTTCGAACACCATATCGGCACACATCCGTTCCTATCAGCAAAGCTCTGGCTCGAGGACAAACGGCCAGACGAATCTGCGATACAACCGACCACACACCTGCGGCGGGGTAGCTTCCTCTTTGGACCTATACGACTTCATCTGCCCCTGATGTCCAGAGGAAGAGAAGGGGGAATATTTGTGCTTGACGATCTCGGCGAAGCCCTGGTCAGCGTATGGACGCAGAAGTAGGATGCATGTCGGTTTCAGCCATATTCTGAATTCTCCAAATCCTAGCAAAAGGAGAGAGGAGAGGAGATTAGGCTTGGTTAAAAGACGTTTTGTGCCAGTAGTCTCTAAGGAATTGGATGCAAGTCATGGCTTAGGACTGCAAAACGGGACTGCTGTCATCACCATGAGCCCAACGCACGCGAAAAAAACAGAGGTACGTAGAGGAGGCTACTCTTCGTGCCCGGGTCACTATCGAAACCCTAGGCGGGTGCTGTACTTGAACCCCTTACCACTGGAAGCATATCCGCGGATCCTTGCTCAAAACAACTCGTCAAAAACGAGTCCGAAAGAGCCAGATACTCCTGAAACCCCACCTAAGGACAAATGCACCAGTCAGACGGAAACGCACCAGTCAGATGGAAGCACGTCCAAGAAGGCAAGAAACAAATGTTAGCAGGAGCGGACCATTTCCAACGTGTTCTAGGAACATCGTGGATGAGAACCAGTTGCAACGCCCATGCGCGCCGGCTTCCTCGACACAGAGAAACGGGATCAGATACTTGACGCGTCAACGGCGATGGGCAATCACATGAACTCCAGGGGCTGGGGCGATGGCTCACCATGTCTCCCATGAAGCAACACAGGTATGCCTGAATTACCCATGCCCTGGACACAACAAACAAGCAACATGATGATCGATTGGTGTGAGAGTGTCCAATAGCGCGACTCTCTAGTCATGGGACAAGCCTTGCGACCCTGCCCAGGACGAAAACGTTGTTCAGGGACTTTAGTATAGAGTGAACTGCCCACAGCTCAATCGAAATGCTCGCTGACGGCAGGATCTTGTTATCTATTTTCCTAAGTGTGACTCACTTCGCGACCTCCACGTCTGCCTGACCGGAGTCTCTTGAAGCCAAAGATTCCTGTGCCAGTGCAGAGTACTTTGACACCTTTCGGAAAGCGCCGGGCGAGGCAGGGAGGTCTGTAGCATGAGCATACCGTCATGGCAGCCCACCCACGAATTGGCGTTTCAACGCCACACAGGAAAAATGACAACTAAATACACCGCGGCAACGACCAGGTTTTTTTCCGACATACGCCGAGGGACAGAATCAACGCCACCTTCTTACCGACTCGATAGGACTGCCCTTCGCAAGCGCCCCCAGCGCAATTGCACACCAGAACGTGCATGTCGACGGGTCCATAGGAAGCTGATTGCGTTCAGAGGCCTTAATCAAGTTCGCCCCTGGTGCGTTTGTGTCAACGGACCTTTCGTCGGCCCCAACCGCTGACTGCTGTAGAGATGAGGGCGGTGTCATGATCTTCACCATCGTCTCGCGAATGTGACTGCCAAACCAGCAAAGCATCGTACAGATCCCACGTGTCAGATGCTCGTGTGAGGTAGGCGAGACAAACCACCAGCACCACTCGAGCGACAAGGCTGTGCTATTTTCATGGAATCTTACACACAGACAATTTTACACGAGCAACAGCACGTAGCAAAGTCGGGGTACAAATACCCATACCTCGTGGTTGTTAGCGGAAGAAAACCGACGCAGCCGAAGAAGTCGCTCAGGAATGCGTTCTCCTCCATTCCCACGAGGCCCGTCGCCGGAGACGCACTCAACCTGAACCTGTATGTAGCAACAGCATACAATGAAATGATCAAAGAAGCGTCCCAACCATGTGCTGTATGCAAGAAGCCACGGGGACTCTCCGTCGACGCTGAGGGGGCGAGGTGGTCCGCTATTCCACATAGGTCTCATTTACTACCGATGCCATGAGTTAATACAAACCCACATAGGCGCCAGCAAGCTCACCATTGACTGCTACCGGCGCAATATGGCAAAGTGCTGTCACACGTGGGCGGGCAGTTATACAGGGTCCAGCAGACACCAATAGCACTCCGTGCCAGACACAATTTGAAGAAAGTCCACAATATGCAACGTCGCTAAAACATCACGCATGAACGGGAAGTCGTTTTGCACGTCTATGCGCTACTGCTGTTGGTTGTGTCTGAATGTCCACCGCATTTTCGAAGCCAACATCAAACGTGACCGGGATTGCCAGTTGACCCCTTGAACTCAGTTTATTTTACCTTTTCAAAGGCAATATGCCAGAGGTTTGGATGGCGCCGGTTGATGTGGAATGGAGTACGGCCTCTCTACCGTGCGTTCCATCACCATCAGGTGGCGTACGCAGGCGTTCCTGCTGGTGTGGTTGAGGGAGATGCCACCGCCGCCTGCTGTAGGTGCACTGGCTGCCTGACTTCACACAACGCCTACAATCGTACATGTGTTGCGGGGACAAAAGGGGAGGCAAAGTAATAGTTTTGCCGTAGGTCTAAGAGATGAATATCGGTACGCGTACAAAAATGTTTGAAAATGATTTTTTTATTTTGACGCTGTAGAAACGGCAGCAGAGCCGCTAGTGTTTGGCCAGTGCTTGCACACCAGCTACGATCGTTGTATTTGTTTTGCCAAACAACTAGTCGTTGCGCAACTACTTGTTTCGAACCAATTGCTGGAGAATGAATGTGCGAAACAACGTGCACTTTCAACTTTAATATATACTAGCGGGAACGATTGACCCCCCGCCCCCCAGTGGGACGGGCAGCTAGCATGGGTGGGATGGGTGCGGCGGTTTGATAGGCAGAGGAAGTAGAGGTGGTATTGACATCGGTACGAAAGAAAGGTGTAAGTCTCAGACGATGTGAGGTCCTCACGTCCGTCCGTCCATGGCGGAGATAATCGGTGGTAAACACACAAAAATGAAAACCGAGGGGAATTTTCGTGTGAAAGGTCGATGCCCGATCACCATCAAACATAAAGCGGAAGGAAGACGGGTGTGGGAAATGTTTTGAGGAGGAAATGCGTGCGTGGATGAGATCGAACATGATATCCATTCTGTGTATAACTGAGGTATTGTCATCTACGCTTTCGAAAAACTTATGGCCTCTATCGGAGGCTCGTAGACAACAGCAGCACCTATTGAGGTTCGTTGGCTCCAACAACCTGTCGGGTACCACCTTGCACGAAGATTTTGTTGCTACAGGTTGAGGCAAGGTCGCGTGTTTGTTGTTGAGCGCGAAGAACGTCCTGTTAGAGAACATCACTGCACGCCACAGCAGCAGCAACCTTCAACTGTATCCGCACGATGTCGTCTACAGCAAGTAGAGCACCTTGTGATTGGTGATGACCGATTGAGAAGATAATTTTTGAATCCGAATCAACACGAAACAAAACATGTTCAACACCACGGGTGCATGCGCTAAGACTTGTCTACAGCAGCAGCGTTTCACTTTAACCGGTGGTGTGGCATTCAAGTACCCTTCGCGCGGTCGCAGGAGGTATGTCATGCAGCCGAAGTCAAAAAGATGACCTACAAATTTCGGTCTTACCCAGCGTACTTCACGTCGACAACAAAAATATCGAGCTACCGAGTTTTTTTTTTCCCCGTACTATTAGTTCGAAATGTATGACGACACGTCCGCAATCCTGTGAGTATATATTTAACATGATAATGCCAATATGGCGTGGCCAACGGTTCTATTTACGCACCCCTTGGTACGCACCCAGTTTTTATAGGAGAATGTTCGGTGGAGGAGGGTACCAAGTTACCACTACCCCCGCGCTCAACCGCCAATCTGTTTTTCTAAGTTCTACGAGGGCACCGTGTCGTGTACGGAGGTTGTTGTACATCTGCGTGCTCCCTACAAAGTCATGTAGGCGCCGTGCGCGCTCGCCGCCCCTCCGCCCCTGTATGCTCTAAGTGTACCACTCCAACAAATGAGAGGCAGGACATGATCAGCGGGCCCTCATGGGGGATCAAACGCCTACTGTTGCCCAGGCTGTTTCGGTAAACGTCTAGATAGCCACCCGTGACGACGTAGACTTGGACTTCAGCGAAGACGGGGAGAGGGCAGTGAGGAACAAGGAGGGACGGGGGTAAGCGTCGGGGTAAGGGGGAGAAGACAAGCGGAAGGGGACGACGAGGAAGAGGAGGAGGGGGAGGAGGAGAAGGAAGAGGAACCGGACGTACGGCGTTACGACACCCCGAAACGCGTACTGTTTGGCGCACTTTGGCGTGCGAGAAGATCGGAACGTGGTAGGCGGAACGGTAGTCGAACGTAACACTCAGCAAATTTCGAGCTCCTATGAGGTATGTTCCGCGGTTTCCGCCGAGGGTTGGGACTCTTCGCCAACATTCATTCTCCCTCGGAAACAAAAACTATGCCAACAAAACGGCGTATCGAGGTGCGTTTGCGCCTCCTCGAGCGTGTGTGCGACTCCTCTCTCTTCTCCTTTTCTCGTCCTCCTACTCCTCCTCTTCTTTCAGCTCCTTCCTCCTCGTCTTCTCCTGCCCCTCCTCCCTCTTCCTCACTGCCCTCTCGCGCTCTTCGCTGGACTCCACGTTTACGTCCACTCCGCGCCGAGAACATTTTTTGCTAGCCCTGCGCCGAAAGCGCATAGGCTAGGCGTACGACCCCCCCTGAGGGTGCGCAAGAGCTGAGCGCACATGGCTAGGGGACACGCAGATAGATGCACAACTGCCGCATATACTAAGCGGTGTCTTTCACATTATAAGGTAACAATGGTCATGCTATAATTGAATTTTGTGTCGCATTGATATGTTTTGGGCTTCGTACCCCCCCCCCCCTCCCTCCAATTTTCCTAATATTCACTTAGGTGCATTGGTGCCAAAGATGTTCTTTATCGCGCACCGTTGTTTTCCCATGTTTTAGTTCTTGTTTTTTTTCATCGTATGCATTCACTAGTGCACGCCAAACCTGTTTAACGTGTCGTGCACAGATGAAACACTGTGCGTCACGAAAATGTGCGCCCTAAATTTCCTGCGCGAGGAACGTGTTGTTGGAGAAACCACACCACAGTCATCATCCACATCATCCACACCACATCCCCGAATCAATGTTCCGTGAAATATAAGCCCGGAGTAGCATCGCACCTCTACGCGCGTGGGAATTGTAGGCGGAACGGTAGGTGAACGGTAGGAATTGTGGGAGCTCCTCCTACATGTCATCTACTACATGTCATACGTTCCGCGGTTCCGTCGAGCGTTGGGGTTCTTCGTTCACGCCCGTAGAAGAGAGGCGCAATGCTACTGCGGGCATATAGTTTCGCTGAGAAAATATTCGGGATGTATGTATGTGGTGCGGAAGATGTCGATCTTCGGTGTCGCAACAGACTACCGCACGTAATTAAGCGCATGACAAGTACGCCACAAGAGACCACCATCAATAATAGCGAGCACCGATAACAAGCGTCTTGCAAAAGACTTCTCTCAGCGTGGCGGCGTTAGCCGCGGCAAAAAGCCTGGCACATATATCCCATGCCGCAGGTCCCCTTGCTGGTAAAACCGCTGTACACAGCCTGCTACAGTAGTGCTGGAAGTTTTGCTGACTTGGCTTTAGTATGGAAATTGTCCCGTGCATTTGGGTACACTTTCCTATGCGTTTGGGGACACTTTATTCCTATACTGAAGCCAAGTCAGACCTCGTCCCTCGGGGCTGTACAGCCTCTCTCAATGAGCGGACGCGGTTTTTTCTTAGGGGGTGTCTTATCAGGCCGAAAAAATACGTATTTGGTTACGAAACCGTATTTTCTTGAAATATATGGAGGCGTTCCTCTACGTTTCCGTAAAAAGAGCAAGGCGTATTTTTTGGGGGCTTGCTCCTTTTACGGATCGGTAAAAAATTTCCCGCTTTTTTTCGGCTACCGGAGCAGACACCGGTCACGCGTGCTGTCTTCATCACACCACACCTAGACAGCACCAACAGCACCCCAAAGTGCTTCCCAAGGCAACTCCACTACCATGGCTGAGCGTGGGAAGCGTCAAGATCCCAGGGGGATCGCAGCGCAACGCCGGGAGAAGCGCCGTCGGCGAGCTATCGACGAGGAGGATGTAGCCCATGACAAGAGATTCACAGTCTTGGGTCTTGTGAGGGCCGTAGTAGTGGCGGCGGGCGTCATGGCAGCAGGAGAGGCTCATCGTGCCCACTGCCCTCAGGAACGGGACCCCAT